ATTTTATATAAAAATTAATATTTATTATTTTAAAATGTTAAAGATTCAGTATTATAATTTAAAAATGAACACTTATTGTTGATAAGAATCAAATATTTTAAGAAAAAATAATACAGTAATTTAATATAAAATATTAACATATTTCTTATTTTTTTAAATTAAATTAATAAATATAAATTCTAGTTTATTCATATAAAATGCAGTCAAACCTCGATATAGCATTCTTCTGTTAGCGTTACCCTGGTAAAACACCAAATAATATTTGTTATGTGAATGCATGTAAATGAATCTTCCTCATAAAATATTATAGAACTCAGTATTTTATGAATTGCTAAATGCGCGAATTTGCAATTCAAATAGCATTTTTCTCATCAAATCACTTGATATAAAACTCCAAATTTCAAAGTTGTGTGTAGGCCTCATTGCTGTACGTAATTTTTTTTTCCTCTTAAAGTACTTCGGTTTAGTGCTACATTTGATTCAGTGCCAATTTTAAAGACAAATAAATGGCGGCACTAAACTAAAGTTTGATCATAAATTATAAAAAAAATAATAATAATTAGCGCTATTATTTGTTCGTTTTTAAAATTGGCAGTAAATGGAATGTACCGAAGTACAGTAGAGCGTCGATTATCCGAATCAATTGGGACTGGGTTTGTTTGGAAAATCGATATTTCGGATAACCGATTATGTAGGAAAAAATATATTAATTTATCTCGTCTTGACATTTTTCTCCGTTGCGTGTCGCTTCGCGTCGAATTTTCGTCGATGTTAAGCCTAACGAAGACTATTGTATCGTTAAAAATTATTTTTTTTATATTGTACGAACAAAATAAATATATTGAAAAATATAAAAACAATAAAAAATTATACTTCAGAAGTTAATTTAGTATCAAAAACGTAAAATATTTGAGTAGCCCAAGACATAACCAAAGATTGCAGCGCCACAGCAGTGGCGAAAATTTAAATTTGCCGACAGGAATTCTTTCGGATGATTGACGTTTCGGATGATTGACTTTCGGATAATCGACTCTACTGTACTTCAAAAAATAAAAATGTATAGTAATCGAGTCTATATACAACTTGGTGCTTAGGTGTGTCAAAGTCACGTGATTTGATGATAATGTTTGCCATGCGAATTAATATATTTAGTAATTCAGAAATATTGAAGAGTTTGTGAGATAGATCATTTATATTACAAATACTCTTTGATGGTGGTGCTAATTAAGATGGTGCTATATCGAGGTCTGACTGTACATACAAGTAATTTGTAAAATATGCAAATTTTATATTACTTTTTCAATGTTATATTTACATTCTTACATAATAAAAATTTAAACATAATATTTTTATTATACTTTATACAGATTTATTACTGTCAAATGTAGTGACAGCTATATAAAGATATTAAAAAATATACAGATTTTCATATTCGTAAAGTTTAGTATTCATATTTTTTACGTATATATGCTTAATATCATGTAAACTTTGTACAATTATTATATGTTTTTACAATTTCTCATTATGTGTATGTATGATTTTATTGCGTATAGTCATGTAAAATAATTATGCAAAGTTATATCTGGAAAACTGTACTTTATGTGCATCATCCACTCTATATGAATAGAGAAATTCTAGAACAAATTAAACGCATTATAAAATTCATAGAAACAATTTTTCTAGACAGATTTCATAAATAACAATATATAAAATTAAATAAGATTTTTAGATAATTCACATAATATTTTAGTAAATTTTTGATTATAAAGATCTCTCGTTAAAGAAATTTTTCTAAAGTTTTTAAACAAAGGACAGAGAAGCAACTCTCGTACTTTTTGTCTCTGAAACGACTTGTTATTTCTCAAAAAATCCATACAGAGAATTGAATATATAAGATCAATAAAGATCTATAATTATAGGTCTTTTTTGCTTTACTGCATTTCAATGAATAAATTATCGAATCTATTTTATGAACATGGAGCATAAACGATTTCAATGCAGAAGATAAAAATGAATAAAACATGTAAAAAGACATAGAAAATAAGAACATAGATTTACAAGTGAAAGCAATAACAAAAAAATGGAAAGATTAGAATAAGATGCAAAGGTACAATTGAAGAAGAGGTGAAGGTTACAATAGAACATCTAATATTCACAGAGAAGAAAAGAGATTGCAATAATTGATTAAAATCAAAACCTTAATTTGTAAGCTCGTTTTCTCACCCTATATTTCTCAGCAGTTTCGGGTCAGGGTTTTCCATTATATTTGTCTACAGCTGTTTACTACATGTCCCTACACTCATATCTATTCCCTTCAAAAATTTCTAGCCATAACCTTCGTATTTCTCTTAAGCTGAGCCAATTGGCTTTAAGTTCTTCTATCAATCAGTGTAATTTGTTAATTGTTTGTCAACATGTTCAAGTCATCATTTATATATACTGTGTAGTAACTTGTAAATCTGTCTTTCATTGTAATCTATATTAGTACTGTCGTTTCAGTCACAAAGAACTATGAACTTTGTCTATACCTCTTCTTCGATTTCTTGTATTTAGTATTCACATTACATGCTTAAAAATTTAATATTGTTCGTAAAATATCTTTTCTTATATACTATTCTACTCGATTATTCAAATAGAACGGCATATAAGAATCTAGCCATTGAGAATTCTATTCATTGCACTTTCCTCAACCATTCCATTTGACCCTACACAACTAAATTTTAAATTTTGTCAATTTCTTATTTCCTTTTTATATGATTAAAGTCGCAATACAATATTTCTTTTATTCAGATCCATAATATTTTATTTAAAATGTTTTGGGATAATTTTATTGATGAATTATAAAATAAGATATAGTCTGTCCACGTGAATAAGATATCTTACTGTATGGCTCTCATGTGATCGAAGGATATATCTATTATTATTTTAGGGAGGGAAACTTATTCTTAAGCTCTGAAATCTAGAAAGGTTTTCTTAAATTGGAAGGTTTACAAACGTGTACATTTTTATAGCATTATCAATATAATAATTTAGTTTATACGTGACAAAATTATTCATTAACATTCAATTCTGACGATAAGTTATCATCTAAATAACGGATTTGTTTATTTAATTTTAATTTATTTATTTGTTCTTTCTACTCTGTGGACTACCATGGCTTTTTAATCATGGTCTAGGCTCACAATGGGGTGGCCGGATGATAAAAGACGAAGACCGACAGCCTACCCTCGAAAAATTCTTGGGATTTTCGGATCGCCAGGACTCGAGCCCGGTTCCCCTCGATTATCCGGCTTTCGCGTTTGTTTATTTCTAGTTAACCAAAATTTAAATTATAATATTGAATTGATAATAAATTTAATCGGAATGAAATAATTATATAGTATCAAACTGTACCTCCATTTTATATATCGAACATCCTTACTTGTGACAATGAGTTCGTCCTATTTGATGTCATCGTATGGCGTTGGAGGGTCTTCTTCACGTAGCCAGACTAATATTTTTCTTACATTTCGTTAGTTCTATTTGCAACTGAAACAATACAAATTTAATAATATTTTTTNATGCAAATAACAAAACGCATAAGCTTGCAGTTCGTAAACTAGAATCTGTGCTTTGTATTTTATTATTAATAACATCAACTACATATATGTGAGTGTGCGTGTGTTTTGTATTTTTGTAAATAGTTAATATTCAAAGCATAAATTTTAGTTTACAAACTGCACGTTTATCCAAAATTATAAGTTTTGGTGCATGCATGGCAATCAAACTCACTGAGAAACCGAATCAGTAGCCACTGTTGTTTCGTTTATATATTCATAAACAGATCATGGGTCTAGTTTATCATTGAAGAATTAAACACTCTATTCTTTACTTATTTCTTTAATTTTCTATTGTTTTTAAGAAAATGAGAGAATTCCTTGCTTAAGAAGATCTCTTGATAGCCCTTTATAGAAACTCATTATACTACATAAATCTTTTTTTAAAATTCTTTTTCCTGTAATTAGTTATCGATTAGACTAGTGGTTTTTAATCGTTTACGCTGTCTGAATCCTTTTATTTTTTTTAAAACGAGCTTTGGAACTCTTTAAAATATTTATTAAGTGTTTTTTTATTTATTTAAAGGGTCGTGGGTCATCTGATTTTCTCAAGTGATCTTAGCTTAACTTCAGATATAGCTAAAGCGATTAAGAGAGGAAATTCATCTGTGTCAGTTCATCATTATAAAGACATTTAAGTCTAGGGTTAGAAATTTACAACTGGAAAAAAAAACATTTAATTGTACGTTAAAATTCTATATTGATACATTTTCGTGAGAATTAAGTCTCTTTTTTAAGACTCCGTTCTCAATATAAAAAAAGAAAAAATAATATACATAAAAAGTTCAATAAAAAAATTAAATTTTATTCTACAAGTAGATGACATATTAATATAAACATAAACTAAAAAGACAGGTTGGATAATATTAAACCTAAGCTTGGAGCAATAAAATAAATACTGTGATACTAAAAAAATAAAAAAGTAGATATAAAACTGATAATGAGTTTTGAGGTTGGGTAAGGCAAATAATGATAATTTTCAAGATATATTTTATTATAAACGCTATAACTTATCTCTTTGGCTAATTAAATGTGTGTGTTTGCACCTGCAATGCAGTCTCGCCCCTCTCAGGATTGCCTGAAGGTTAATAACAACTAATTATATCAAATAATATTATATTTTCCATATTAATTTGAAAAAAATCTCCATTTAATGTAATTAGATATTCAAAATAAAATTGGGACTTATTATAATTTATGAAATAAGAAAGATGTAAAGCATTTAATTTATACTTCATTTAAACAACCAGTTTTCTTTGATCTTGAATTTATAATGAGTAAAAATGGGTAGAGAAGTAAAGAGTAGAAAAAAAACCAGTTATTTTGATTTGCAATCGATTAAACTCTAGTCGAAAATTACTACATCAAAGAATCGCAAAATGTGAAAATTGAATTATTATCTCTGGTTCGGTTGGTGTTGATTTCTTAATCAAATTTAAAGTGTCGTAATACAAAATTTAATAAATTTGCCGTTGATAGTACTGAAATTCTCTTATTACTATTATAGATAAATTAATTACTGGAAGCCCAAATGTCAGTTAACCGAGATATATTCTATTTTTGAAAACGGTTGAAACTGCTTTAGAACAGCTAAATGTTATTATGTATGATTCACTGGAAGCAACTAATCACATGCAATCGTTCGAAACTAGTTTTAACTGTTTATACAGTAATATTATATCTCGGTTAACTGACTTTTNATTTAATATTGTTCGTAAAATATCTTTTCTTATATACTATTCTACTCGATTATTCAAATAGAACGGCATATAAGAATCTAGCCATTGAGAATTCTATTCATTGCACTTTCCTCAACCATTCCATTTGACCCTACACAACTAAATTTTAAATTTTGTCAATTTCTTATTTCCTTTTTATATGATTAAAGTCGCAATACAATATTTCTTTTATTCAGATCCATAATATTTTATTTAAAATGTTTTGGGATAATTTTATTGATGAATTATAAAATAAGATATAGTCTGTCCACGTGAATAAGATATCTTACTGTATGGCTCTCATGTGATCGAAGGATATATCTATTATTATTTTAGGGAGGGAAACTTATTCTTAAGCTCTGAAATCTAGAAAGGTTTTCTTAAATTGGAAGGTTTACAAACGTGTACATTTTTATAGCATTATCAATATAATAATTTAGTTTATACGTGACAAAATTATTCATTAACATTCAATTCTGACGATAAGTTATCATCTAAATAACGGATTTGTTTATTTAATTTTAATTTATTTATTTGTTCTTTCCACTCTGTGGACTACCATGGCTTTTTAATCATGGTCTAGGCTCACAATGGGGTGGCCGGATGATAAAAGACGAAGATCGACAGCCTACCCTCGAAAAATTCTTGGGATTTTCGGATCGCCAGGACTCGAGCCCGGTTCCCCTCGATTATCCGGCTTTCGCGTTTGTTTATTTCTAGTTAACCAAAATTTAAATTATAATATTGAATTGATAATAAATTTAATCGGAATGAAATAATTATATAGTATCAAACTGTACCTCCATTTTATATATCGAACATCCTTACTTGTGACAATGAGTTCGTCCTATTTGATGTCATCGTATGGCGTTGGAGGGTCTTCTTCACGTAGCCAGACTAATATTTTTCTTACATTTCGTTAGTTCTATTTGCAACTGAAACAATACAAATTTAATAATATTTTTTATTTATAATTAATTAAATAAATTTAATTTAAATTAAATCTCTATAATTTTGCAGCGCATTTATTTGGGTGTAGTACAGAATTTTATGATAATATTTTCAGTTTTAACTCTATTTAAATTTATATATTTAAAAATACTTTAATTGGCCATTAGTTTTTAGATGTTAGCAATAAACTAGAAATAATTTAGATAAATTATTTTTACCTCTAGGGACATTTTACTTGGCATACAAAGTGGTGATTTGAAAGACAACTTAAAGTTTTATATTAATATTTATGACATAAGTTTTTCAAATAACGTCAAAATTTCGTCATATTTTATTGCTCTGACGATAAAAAACGAATTATAGTAAAGCTTATTAAACATAAAAAATTTCGTTACTTATCACTACCAACGATTCTGCTAGCTATAATTGAGAGAAACGTGAATTTAAATTAAATTGGCGTGCAATTTTTATTAAATAATATATTACTTTAAATTAAAACATTATAATTATTAAAAGTAGAATTAATTAAAAGTGCTTTATAAAATATTACTATTGCTAAATATTGGAAAATGAATAACAAATTAAACTTAATATGTTAATAAATAATTGATTATGAGATTAAATAATAAAAATAAATAAATATTTTTGTAAAATTCTTACATGAAGTAAAGTTAGACGTGGACTTTGCACAAATTGGTACCAATGTCAACATAAAATTGTGAAAAAAAAGTTGTCATTGAAATCTGCCTATTGATAATTACGTCAGTGAGATTGCATAAATTACACAAAATTTAAGAGAATTCTAGAAAAAAAAAAAATATATATATATATAAAATTAGCTTAATAACTTATAAATTATTTATTTTTTTAATTAAATTTTTTTTAAAAAGGTACCATTTTGGCATTGATAATTTGAAATTCGCATTTCTTTTATAATATTTTTGTAAATAGCTTTCTCATTCATTTAATCTGTCCGTCACAAGATTCCTTTTATATAATAAATAAGCCAAAGAACTGAGATTTCATATGAAATCCCTAATGTAAGGTGCTAGCAACACTCCGTTATAGACGTTTAAAAAGAAAAAGAAAATTATGTCATTTATGAAGTCATAAAAGCAAGCCATAACGCTACGACACTATTTCCTGACACATAATACTTTACATTTATATATATAAAGTACAGTCACAGTTTAAAAAGTCATTACCTTGACTTGATGAGGATTGAGAGATATTTTTACATTGCTAAGAGTGCGAATTTTATTAATTATTTAAAAAAATTAAAAATTTTAATTGTTCATTAATGCCACACTTTTATAATAAAGTATTTATCAAATAACACAAAATAAAAAAGAAAATCTCCATTTAATGTAATTAGATATTCAAAATAAAATTGGGACTTATTATAATTTATGAAATAAGAAAGATGTAAAGCATTTAATTTATACTTCATTTAAACAACCAGTTTTCTTTGATCTTGAATTTATAATGAGTAAAAATGGGTAGAGAAGTAAAGAGTAGAAAAAAAACCAGTTATTTTGATTTGCAATCGATTAAACTCTAGTCGAAAATTACTACATCAAAGAATCGCAAAATGTGAAAATTGAATTATTATCTCTGGTTCGGTTGGTGTTGATTTCTTAATCAAATTTAAAGTGTCGTAATACAAAATTTAATAAATTTATTTTAGAAAAATTAAAAGGTATTTAATCACTTTTTCTTTATTTTCTTATTGATTTGTATACAATTAAATTTTTTTAGTGTAATTACTGTTATAATTAGAAATTAAATGACTTATAATAAATAAAAGAAAGTAAATTTTATTATAAATATTATTTATTTATCATGAGAAATTTGTTAAAATAAACTACACTTGTAGATGTTCCCAACCCTTTCCTTTTGAGCTTGTCGACTCCTTTTTAAAGTTTGATCTAATTCGTCGATCCGTTTCTATATTTAATAGAAATAATATTTAAAAAAATAGGATTGATTTGGATTCGTAACGTGTGGGTGCAACGTGTGGGCGATCTGCCAAGAGGGAATACTTCCCGGAAGGACTTTCTTTAGGAAACTGGCTCCTATTTAGGATATTTTACTCGTGATAAAAACCCGGAAAAATCCACGTGGCTAGCCTGTTAGTCATGCGCAAACCTGAGAACTACCAGTGTTCAGTGTTCAGTGGTCAGTGGTTTTACTACTCGGACATTGGTGAACAATAAATAAATAATAACAGTAGTAATA